AGCTTGAGCTCAACCTGGTAAACTTAGCAAGAGCTTGTCTCAAAAATTAAGGGGCTGGTAAGATAGTTCAGCGGTCTACAGCACCTGCTTAGGCAAGCTTAGACATGTGCAGGAGACTGAGGTTCGATCCCTGGCATCACACACAGTGCCAGCCCTGCCCTCAGGGCAGGCTGAGCTGGCAAAAAAGAAAAGAAAAAGTTAAGGGGCCAGGGAAATAGTTCAGTAGAATAAGTGTCTGCCTGGCAAATGCAAGGTCCTGAGTTCAATCCCTGGTTCTGCCAAAAAAAAAAAAAAAAGAAAAAGAAAGAATGGGACCTGGGGACTCCTGCCCTTCCAGCTCTGGCAGGTTTCAGTTTCAGGGGAGTTAGGTAGTCACCACATCTCTCAGTCAGGCACAGCTCAACCAGCAGCCTCTGACCTTCCTCCCTCCACCTGGGAGGCTCTGGGCCGCTTCTGCCATCTCACCCTATGGGTGTCCCTAGGGTCACTGGCCAACCAGGAACCTCTGCTCCTCCCCGCACCAGAGTCCACCTCTGGCCATTGCTGGAAGCTTACATCTCTCCTCCAACAAACCCTTGAACTTGAGTCGATGATGACCTCAAAGGGCAGGCAAAATCACAAGGCCGGACTATGGCACACACAGGAAGGAGCCTGGAAGAATCTGTTATTTAATAGAACACAACCTCAAACTGTCTCTGATTTCTTTTTTTTTGGCGGAACCAGGGATTGAACTCAGGCCCTTGTGCTTGCCGGGGAAGTACTTATTCCACTGAGCCATCTCCCTGGCCCGTCTCTGATTTCTGGTGCTCACCTATCCCGAGAGGTGCAGGCCTGAGGAGGTGGGGAAAGGTCCTGAGGAGCTCACTGAGATAGGATGGTCCAGAGAAGGCAGGGAAAGGAGACCCTTAGGCGGGGCTGTATCCTGTCTTGGGCCCATGCTGGAGCTTATTTCTGTGTGCAAAGCAACTCTTGGTTGTCCAAGCAGGAAAAATGGGTCACTCTCTACACCTGCCTGAGAGCCCCTTGGAAGGAAATCCTCAGCCAGAAAGTGGCTCAGTGGAGCTCTGTGTGAGTGACTGCAGTGGGAGAGGTCACGGGGAGGTGGTGGGAGGCAGGCTTTGGGGAGAAAAGGGGTTCCCTCTGGGCCTGCACAGTGAGTGCCCTCAGCCAGTTCAGACCTCAGCAGGTCCTGGGGCACTACAGACACCCAGGGATCACGTGAGACCTCAGAAGCTGTAGCAGGAGTGGACCTTGGCAAGAGGAAAAAGTGCTGGATGATGCCTAGATTTCTTAGAACCCTGGCTGGATGGATCCTGTCAGGGTCAGCCATGGATGTGGGGCAGTGAGGGCCCACCTGACAGCAGTGGGCTCTCAGCTCAAGTCTGCTCTCACTACCTTCTACAATGTCCTATTCCCTCCTTCTGCCCAAGATGCAAGAACTGGGACACAGGCAGAAGAAAGATGGTGGATGGCAAGAGCCACACTAAACTGCTCAGAAAGGAACTCAGCAGCTACTGGCACCAGGCAGGTCCACATACGTGAGCAGCTGGTCTGGGCTACAAGCCCCAGGGATCACCCAAATGTTCCAGGTGTACTTTTCCACACTTCAGGATCCAAAGAAGACCTGCTAGGTCCACAAAACACCCTACTACAAAGTCAGCCTCAGCCTCAGGACACACAATGACTCTGCCCTAGCCAGGGCACCAGACACCAGGACTACCAGCTATGGTGGACCAAAGACCCTGGCATCCACAAGCCCCAGAAAGTCCACCTGTGTGTGAATGCTGGTGAGGCAGGACTGGCACAGCTACAGAAAGGCCACAGGGGACAAGGGGAGCAGACAAATACCAAGAGGATGGGAACATGGTCCTTGTGGCCCCATAGTGCCATGGGATCATCAGCCAGCTTCCTTAGGACACTGCTCTCCTTGCCCTTTTACCAGCACCATAAATCACTAACACTCCAAGGTATCGGGCTCCCCCGCTACCCTACAGACCGGCAAGCCCCCTTTGTAACTTTTGTTTGGCGGAACTGGGGGTTGAACTCAGACCCTTGCGCTTACCAGGCAAGCACTTATTCTACTGAGCCATCTCCCCAGCACCCCCCTTGTAACTTGAGAAGCTGTGGTCACCCCAGTGAAGTCACACAGCATAGGTCCCATGAAGGCTCTGGGTTAAGCTGTAGATTTAGGAGACCCTCTAAACTAACCTGTCCTCAGATGTCCTCTCCTTGACTGTCGACTGAGCACTGAGGTGTTGTCTGCCTGGTTTGTCGGTCTGAGCCTCAGGCCTAGAACTAAACAGATACAAACAGATATCCACCAGTGCCTGCCTGGGGCCATTCACAGGCCAGCTGAACAGGCTCGCCTTACACCTCTGATGCCTAGCTCCTGAGGACAGGCCTCAATCGAACTCCAGTATGGCCACCCTGCCTAGATGGGCGCTGGGCATGAGGCTAAACCTTGGACCAAATTACTGCTGTCTCCTCCATCCCCCCATTAAAATATCCAGGACTGTCAGCTTCAGGGCCACCGCCACAAGAACTATCTGCTCCAGGCTGTGGGTCCAAGCCCATCTGTCAGCTGCCACCTGAACCTCACAGGACCCCTGGTTCCAACAGACCCCACAGCGAGGCCTCTCCCACCTCTCTCTGGTTCCTTCCCATGGCACAGCCTCAGTTAAGGTCTTGAAGAACCAAGGGGTGGGCAGCTGGATGGGATAGCTCTGTAGGGACCCAAAAGGGACAGCAAAGTCAAACACAGGTTCCTCCATGGAAATTCCCAGGAAAATGCCCATTGTCTTTTGAGTGGCTATGTGAACACATGTCCAGCGACAGCACAGACCAAGACCAGCACGGGTACCATTGCACCAGCAAGTTCCCACAGAGCCCAAGGGGTGCCACGTCTGTCTGGCATGCCACATGGGTGTCCTGGCTCCCAAATTAATGTCTGGTGTGCTGGCTTGCCCAAAGCCTGGTGTGAGCAGACAGGCTTTCAATTAAAAGGGCCTCAGCTACTTCCTCTGGCAACCCAGAAATAATTACCATATAATTAAAAAGGATATGAAGAAAAGGCTGAAGATATTTCAATTGGTAATTCGAAGAGATATATCTGCACAAAGTTGCACAGATACTGACAACATAGAACTGGCCTTCTAACTGGTCCAGATCCCACAGAAACTCTCTGTCCCTCATTCTCCTCAGAGGAACTACGGATACAGCACCAGACTCGAGGCTGCTCCAAACAGCTGTAACTGGGGCGTGTTCGAATCATTCGGGCCACAATGACCACTGCAAACCCACCAGCTTTCTCCACCACTGTGGGGGAGGGGCAGGGCAGCTCCTTCTACACCTCACCCTCACCATCTAACTGCTCTACAGCTGGAAGCTTAGCTAGCCTCTGGGTCCCACGATCTGGCCCTCCCCATGGACGCCAGCTCTCCAGCCTGCGGCAGCCCTCTCCTTCCCTCCCAAGAGTGGCTCTGAAGCAGTATGCCGGAGCTCAACACAGGGGGACAAACACAACCCATCCAGGCCCTGGAGACCCAGGGCAGGCGTGAGCACGCTTGCATGTGCTCCGGGCGCTGCCTGGGAAATTCATCAAGCAGCGACGCCCAGCTCTGGTGGATACATGAGCCGAAAACAAAAACAAAATAACCAGTGCCGGCTGCAAACTTCCCCCTTTCAAACCTGTGGGCCTTGGCAATCTGTTCTGCTCAACAGGCCCTAGACCCACAGGGTGGCCCCATCCCTAGTGGCCACCCCCCCACTGCTTACTGATCTCCGGAGTGGTGGCTGGGTTTCCCCTAGACTGCTGAGGCCTTTGTACCTTCTCTCTGCTCTCACCCACCAGTTACCAGAGCCTACAGACCGGACTCAAACAGAATCCTTCCAAGATCCTTCAAGTCTCAGGGGTAGACTCTGAACAGCCCAGGAGCCACAGTCCCAGCAGACTGACAGGCGGACAGGGGATCAGGCCCAGGCTTCTCAGTAAAGAGAGAAAATGCTGGCCTCCACCTACACACAACCCTCCAGGGCAGCTTCCTGCAAACAATGCCATCCGGAGGCCGAGGGAATCAGAACCAGCTGCCCTGAAAGCTGGCCTCGCCCAGAACATACAGGTCCTGGTTCGGCCTTTGCGCCCCCCACGTCCTTAAGAGAAAGTCATCCGCCAAAAAAGTTAGGGCCGAGGGGCCAAGTAGGGACCCTAGGGGTTGGCTCAGAGGTTTCACCCCTCCCTCAGAGATCCGTGTGTTTCCGGGAAACAAAGCCGGTGGCCAGAGTGGAAGGGGGACGCTTCAACCTAGCTATGAGTTCCCAGACAGTGGCAGCAACAGGTGCCCCCCACAGGACCCCCTTCATCGCCCAAGGGCTGGTCTGACCCGCAAACGCTCAAGACCCCAAGGTGGGGAAGGGCTGGGAGTGAAGAAGGACAGAGAAGCCAGGCCTGCTCTCTAGCAGGCCGTGAGACCAGGTGGGCACAGGGCCTCCGAACAAGAGCGGAAAATGGGGGGGGGGGGACACGTGGGCGGGCGGTTGGATTGAGAACTAGAGCAGAAAAGCGACAGGTGGACTGGGGTGCTGCGGGGTCTGTCAGGGGGAAACCAGCGGTCTGGCGCGTGGGATAGACCACGAGAAGACGAGGGTCCAAAGCGAAGGGTCGGCGGGGATGCGGCGCAGCAAGATCCAGAGTGCGAGGTCGGCAGGATGTAAGAGTTGGTGTCTCCAGCGTAGGTGTGAGGGCCACTAAGGGATGACGGCAATCGGTGGGGTCGCTAGCGAAGGGGTGCGGGTCACCAGGGTTCGAAGATGGGCGTCCGCAGGGCTTAAGAGATGGCAGGATCCCTAGCGTGGGGTTGAGGGTCTCTGGGGGACTCGGGTCCGGCTCTCCGGGTCCACCGGATGTAGGGGGCGACGGGGCGGGGCCATGAAGCCTGGGTGGGGTGAGGTGGGGTGGGGGTGGGGACCCAGGTCGGCAGACGGGCGGGCGCGCGCGTCGTTACCTGCGCTCCGCCTGGGGCCCGCGGGCGGCGACGGCCGGCCTCAGCAGCGCGGCGTCCCCCGCTCCGGGCCCCGTGCGCGCTCGCGCTGCGGCTCAGGCTCCGGCGCCTGCTGGGGTCCCTGCTCCGGATCCCATGCCGCTGGGGTGGCCTCGACTTGTTCGGCGGGAGGGCCGGGCTCGCCGCTCCGCCGCACCCGCTCTAGGGCCCGCGCGCCTTACGCTGTCTTGCCAGTGGGGGGCGGCGGCCTGCGCGGTACAACGCGCAGGCGTGAGAGGGGCGCGAGGTGCGCGCGCCGTATGCGTCACAACGCGGGGCAGGGCCGAAGCTCGCCCGGGCAACTGGCCCGCCGCTTTACGACAGTAGGGGGCGCCGCACGACGGCTGCTGCGCTTTGCGGCCTCTCCAAAGCGATACCTGGGGAACACTGGAGACGCGCGGCTGCGGGATCGCGCGTGGGCAGGGCAGGGGTCGAACAGCTCCTACACCCTTGCGGGGCGGGGTTCCTGCCTCCCTTTCTACCCCCTCCGCCTTCGCCGTCGCCATGGTGACGCGTAGCCGGTCGCCCTGGCGCCATCCTGCCGCCACGTTGGTGACGTCACAGTCTCGCCATCTGCTGTCACGATGGGCGGTGTCGATGGGCGTGGCCTGAGTGGGCGTTGGCGAGTAGTCGGTAGGTACCTGAGCCGAGAATTGAGCCAGTTTAGGACTAGATAGTGTTTCGAAGTGATTTTCTGGGCCTGTAGGATAAATGGTCCTAGAATAGTGGTCAGTAACCACCCAAAAACCGGGTGACATATATAGAGAAGTCAGGCACAGTGTAGCATGCACATAATGTCACAACTCTGCGAGGATGAGGCAGGCAAGTTTGAGCCTAAACGAGTCAGTTTAGCTATACCCTGCCTCAAGATGTAGAAAAAACCCTGGTCATTACCTGATGGGTTGACAGAGTGTCTGCTTCTTGATATCCTAATTCATGGTGACTTAAACAAAGGACAAAGAAGAGAAGCTCGGCTCAGAACCTAAGGCCCCAGGGCTTCCAGCCTGCAGCAGACCACCTCGGGCAGCTGGTCAAGTCGGCTGCTAAGCTTCGCATACCAAGCTGGGCTCTCTAGCCAGTTGGCACTTAATGCATGTAGGTTTCAAACTGCTTGCACATGTGTTCTGTGTCACAGAGCCCTGCACTGAGCAAGGAACTTGGGGAGGGGGACTGGCAAGCCATATCTATCCCAGGGCAGGTCTTAGAAGCAGGAAGGACTGCAAATTGTTCTTGGCCTCCCCGCAGATGCCATTCCCTCACAAGTTTGGACAGTTTTTTAATCAGAAGACACACATCCATTCAGATGTGTACAGAGTGACGGCCAAGGGCTCTGAGAATAGAACACTGAGGTGGCTGCTGGCATCTCCTGCTCAGGGAGTCTTTGGTCTTAGGATGGGGGAGGGAGGACAGGAAGTACATGCACAGGATAGTATCCATGGTGTGATATGGCCATGTGGCAGAATGCCCAGAAGAGAACACCTTCTTTAGCCAGATGGCCAAGGAAAGCCAGATCCTTTCAAGGCTAGAAATGCAGACTGGGAGGAGGATTCCATGTACTGTATGCACAAAGGGCTGCAAAGAACTGGTGGAAAATTCAGCCGGGGAGGGAGGCTAACAAGACAGGCTTCCAGGGGCCAAAGCTAACCCTTTGGGGTGCCAAGACTAGGTGTCCTGTGACACCACAGGAGACAAGTGGTGCTGTCCATAACCCTTGTCCTTCTTCTGTCCCACATGAAGTGCCCCCTTGGGGAAGCCCAAGTCACAGCCTATTACTGTTTTCCTGATCACAGTTCTATCCTTCGGGAGGAGCTACACTGTACAAGGGAGTAAGGTTTGAATGTTGGTCTCTGCCAGCCATGCCCGTAGGAGCCAGCATGAGGAACTACACACCGTAGGTGCTTCCTCTGTGTGTAGTAATTGCATATGACAAATGGATGCATGAATGAAAGCTCTTCCAGAATTTGCAGATTATCAAGCTCTTATTTTCTCAGACTTCCTGGCCCTATCTCACCTCTATTCTTGGTATTCAGAAAATCATCTTTCAGGAGCTCAATCCCAGAGCACTGGGGGGAAGCTGGTCTCTCCCCTAAGGCTGTCTGCACCTTAAACCTGACCTTCAAGCTGTTTCTGCCAACTGGGTGCTTGTGCAGCTGAAAGAATGCAGGCAGGAAGGCCAGCCCTGGAGCTGTGCCAGCCAAATAGTGACTGTGGGCCATTCACTCCCTCTCTGGTCCTCCGTAACATTGTCTGTAAGTTGGGGCTAGTGAAAGGGCTCATGGTTCTATCATGAGACTGTATGAATTAATGCATAAAAATTACACTAGAAAGCCTTCAGGGCTGGTGAGATGGCTCAGTGGTCTAAAGCACCTACTTAGAACAAGCTTAGCAAAACACATGGACCACGGTTCAATCCCCCAGCACCACATGCCAGCCAGCCCCGCCCCCTGGTGGGCTGAGCTGGCCACACACACACACACACACACACAAATAAAAAATAAAAAAAAAAAAGAAAGCCTTCTGCTCTCAACAGATTTCTTTTTTTTTTTTTTTTTTTTTTTTTTTTTTTTTTTTGGCAAAACCAGGGATTGAACTCAGGCCCTTGTACTTGCCAAGGAAGCACTTATTCCACTGAGCCATCTCCCTGGCCCTTTTCAACAGATTTCTAACAAACATTTTTACCTATGGCCTTTCATGCTTCCTCATTTTTAACCATACCCTCCCATGCTTCAGCTCTAGTCACAGGGTTTGGGTAAACCTGGCAATTAAGTGGAAAAGAACCCATTTAGTGGCCTCAGTAAAATAATAACATTGGCTGTGGAGATAGCTCAGTGGCTTAAGCATCTGCCTGGCAAGCACAAGGTCCTGAGTTCAATCCCTGGTACCACAAAAACAAAAAAATAATAAAATAAAATAATAACATTGTAAAGATGATGAAGGCCAGGGAGATAGCTCAGCGGCATGTATGCCTGCCTGACAAGCATAAGGCCCTGAGTTTGATCCCTAGTACAAAAAGAAAAAAAAAATTATGCTGAGCTGCCTATCTCTGCCTCAGCCTCCATAAATGAAAACAGGATGAGAACATCCTGGGAAATCACTGTGGATCTACAGGAGCAGCAAGGCAGGAAGCCCCTCCTGCCCTCTGTTCTTATAGCTGTGAGAGACAGACACACATCCACCCATCCTCCACCTTGGACACAGACCCCAAGTCAGGTCTCAGGGCTGCATCCAGTTAAGCATCCTGGCTCACATTTATCACACTGGATTAATGTATTTAGTACAGGATCTACAAGGTTTTCACTACCCAAATTGATTCTCCTGTTTTCATCCTCCCAAGTGCTGGGATTACCGGCATGTACCACTATGCCCAGTTGCCCAGTCTCAATCTCCACTATTTCAGTGCACCCTGGGGGCAGGGGTTGGGCAGCGCTGCATGCCAGGGATCAAACCCTGGCCAGTGTGCTCTGCGTAAGCAGGTGCTTTAGTCCACTGAGCTATCTGGCCGGCCCTATCAAACTGAATTGAATGAACACTAATTGCAGTCAGGCTCCCTCCCCATCTGGGACAGCCTGGAGGGCCCAGGGGCCTGACATCACTTCTCATCTATGAGCCCCTCTGCTCTGCAGATGTGGAACCTGAGGTTTAGAGACATAAAGTGAATTAACCACCTACCATGTCCTGGATTGGAACCTCTGATGCTGTTGGCAGCAGCACCACCTCCCAGTGTCATATATGGTGGTACCCAGTGTCCTCACTTCACCCCAGTAGCTTCACCTCACTTCCCAGTAGCTTTGGTGGAGGGCACCAAACACATTGGGAAAAATCAGTCCTCTTTTTTCAGAACTGTGAGCTCCAGAGGAGAAACAGGCTGAGAGACATGAGAGAGGTTGTCAGGGGCAGGTGACATCAGGCATGAAATGGAGAGTGTGAGGGTACAAAAGCACATGGCGAGGGGCCGGGGAGATGGCTCAGTAGAATAAGCGCTTCCTTGGCAAGCGCAAGAGTCTGAGTTCAATCCCTGGTTCCTCCAAAAAAAAAAAAAAAGCACATGGCTAAATCACCCACCTCATGTGACCCCATTTCCTGAACCAACAGGTCTGTGCCATGTGACCTTTCTGTCACCTCTGATAGGTCTGGGGTAAGGCAATCAGGTCATCTCCTGGGAATGTTACACTTAGAGAGGAACCTTTAGTGCCTGTCTAGTGTTAACTATGAAGTGGATGGCAGATGTCTCCCGTCCTCTGGTTCTCAGCATTTGTCCTCCCATTGTTTAGATACATAGTAAAGCAACCAGCCATCCTTTACATTTTTTTTTCTTTTTTAGATTCCTGGAACACTGAGATTTCGTTATTCAAACTGCAGAAGTCTCAGCAAAACCACAGTGATGTCATCACCCTGAATGTACAGCATACACTGCCCTAAGAAGGATCTCGGGAAGCCACAATGTGAAGCTGCCTCTTCATCACATGCCCTGGCACCAAGGTAGAGGGTTGAATGGTGTTCTCCAAAATTCATGCTTATTTGGACCCTCAGAATGTGACCTTAATTGGAAATATGTGGATGTAATTACTTAAATTAAGATGAATATATAAGCTGGGCATAAAAAAAAAGCTGGGCATGGTGGCATACATGTACTCCCAGCATTCCACTTGGGAGACTGAGGCAGGAGTACCATGAGTTTGAGGCCATCCTGGGCTACATAGTTCACAGCCAGCCTCTCATTCCCCCGCCTCCAAAACAACAAAACAAAACAAAACACGATGAATTCATAGCCAGGTACAAATCCTAGAATTTTGTGAGGCTGAGGCAAGAGGATGGCAAGTCTAGCCAGCCTGGACAACTTAGTGACATAGCAAGCTTTTGTCTCAAAATAAAATTTTGAAAGGAGACTGGGGACATAGGTTAGTGTGAAGGCCCTGCATTCCCTACCCAGCACAGGGTAAGGGAGGGAAAGAAAAAGGGAAGAGCATTGACAGAAACAGAAAAGATGCCACAGGAAGACAGAAGTGGAGACTGGAGTGATGCAACCACAAGCTACAAGATGCCTGGAGCTCCAGGAGCTGCAAAAGGCAGGAAGGACCGTCCCCGAGAGGAGGGAACATGGCCCTATGGCGACTGGTGCTGACAAGCCACTGCGTCCGGGAGGCCACTGAGCAAGCAGCTAATAGCTGCCCTCACCCTGGGCCACAGCATTCAGAGCAGCTCCAATTACAAAGGGCTTTCCCGCCTGAAGTGGCTGGGTGCCCAGTCTCGCCTGGCCAGCCCGCCAGCATCCCTTCCAGAGGAGAGGACGGTCCCAGGCATCACTTCACAGTCAGTTGGGATCAGACAGAAAGCAGCCCTGGACAGCAGGGTCAAATTACTCATGTCCAGAGCTGAAAAGCCACATGACCCTGTTGCTTTCCTAATGCTGCTCCAGGGACAAGACGCCAGGCTAATTCCCAGGACAGGCAGGAGGAGGAGAGGATCTGCCTGTCTGGTGTCTCTGAGCAACTATAAGCTCAGCTATAAAAGTATGGAGTTGGGGCTGGAGGTCTGGCTCAGTGCTGAGCACTTGCCTAGCAAGTGCTTATCCTCAGTCCCAACAAAAATAAAAGGATAGAATGGGATGATGACTTGAACTGCCAAACATGTTTCTTCCTAGTGCTACTTGATTGACTGCTAATGTGTGTCATGTTCAGGTCACCCTTGATTGATTTATTGCTGATGTCTATCCTATGTATAGACAAAATTAATTACTGATGTCTGCCATAAGCACAGAATTAGGGGATCAGTCATTTGTTGATTGATTACTGATGTCTTCCTTTTGCAGAGTGGAGCAGGGGATGGATCACTGATTGATTACTGATGTTTGGCCAATGCAAAGAATGCAGAAAGGCACCATTTATTTATTGATTACTGATCTCCTATGCAAAGGGTGAAGGAAAGCATCATTGATTGACTGATTATTATTATCTGCCCTGTGGCCAGGTATGGTGGTACATGCCTATAATCCTAGCACTATGGAGGCTGAAGCAGGAGGATTGCCACAAGTTCAAGGATAGCCTGGGCTACATAGTGAGTTCAGGGGCAGCCTAAACTATACAAGAAGACCTTGTCTTCAAACAAACAAACAAACAAACAAACCTGCCCTGTGCACGGGAAGAAAGAAGGCATCACTTACTGATGGTCTCTTGCCTTGTGCACAGAATGGACAAGGGCATGATTGATTGGTTGCTGAAATCTGCATTTATTGATTACTGATCTCTGTATTTTGCAGAGACAGCATCATTGATTGATTGATTGTTTATGCCTGCCCTGTGCACAGGATGGACAAGCACAGTTCATTTACCATCCTGAGACTGGGTGAGAGGGCTTGGTGACTCTCCCAACCCCACATATTTTGTCTTTTTTTCTTTTCTTTCCTTTCCCCCTTCCTTCCTTCCTTTCTTCCTCTTCCCCTTCCTTCTTTTCTCTCCCTCTCTGTCTGTCTTGTTTTTTTCTTCAGACAGGGTTTCGCTTTGTAGTCCAGGCAGGCATTGGGCTCAATATGTAGCTGGCCTCGAATGGGCATTGATTCTTCTGCCTCAGCCTCCCAAGTGCTGGGACTACAGGCATATGCCACCACAGCTAGTTCATTTCTCCATTTGAAGTCATTCTGGAGGGGTCGGGGAGATGGCTCAGTAGAATAAGCACTTCCCTGGCAAGCGCAAGGGCCTGAGTTCAATCCCCAGTTCCACCTAAAATAATAATAATGATGATGATGATGATGATGATGATGATGAAGTTGGGCCGGGGAGATGGCTCACTGGAATAAATGCTTCCATGGCAAGCGCAAGGGCCTGAGTTCATTCCCTGGTTCCGGAAAAAAAAAAAAAAAATGAAGTCATTCTGGAGATGAGCAACAATCCTGGAGGGGCAGGACATGTTTGAGGGACAACAGTTTGAGTGTGCACCTGGCAGTGGGACCCCTTTTTAGGTATGGAGCTAACTGTGCCCTGCATCCACCCAGCCAGCAGAACAGGGAGGAAGGACATCAGAAATGACAGTGGGCAGAGGGACCAATAAGGAGCAGAGGTTGTCTCATTGCCTGTGTGGGATGCAGCATGCCAGTGTGGAGAGCACATGAATGTGTGTGTGTGTGTGTGTGTGTGTGTGTGTGTGTGTGTGTGTGTGTTGTGGGGTGCAGAGGATCAAATACAAGGGTGCTCTCCAAGGGCAGGTGCCCTTTTCATTTTTCTCTTTTTTTGTTTTTTTGGTGGTACTGGGGATCAAACTCAGGACCTTCTACTTGCCAGGCAAGCACTTATTCCATTGCGCTATCTTCCCAGCCCTTTCTTTTTTAAGATGAGAAATTCTGGGGGCTGTGAGGATAGCCTGGAAGACTAAGCACCTGCCTCGCAAACACAAGAATGTGAGTCTGATCCCCAGTACCACATGCCGTGGCTGGAACAAGGTGTGGTGGTACATGCCTGTAAGCACTGGGGAGGCTGAGACAGGAGGGTCTCTAAGAGTCTGAGCTGTGTACCGAGACCCTGTATCAATTAAAAAAAAAGATGAGAAATTCTTTTATCATATTTAGAATCAAAATATCCCTTAAAATATTTACATTTTACTGTAAAAAGGACAGCAGAACTCTTTTTTTTTTTTTTTTTCTTATTCTGTTTTGCTTTTTTTATGGGGGTTATCAGGAATTGAACTCAGGGGCTGGCCAAATAGCTCAGCGGATTAAAGTGCCTGCAAGCAGGCGCAGGGGTCAGGGGTTCAATTCCTCAGGCCTGCTGTGCCGGCTCTGCCCCCAGGGTTCGATGAGATAGCAGTTGAGACAGGGTGTGGTGGCACAATCCTGTTATCCCACTTGTTGGGAGGCTATAAACAGGTGGATCACTACAAGTACGATCAGTAGTGAGATCCTGAACACCCCGAAAGAGTTAAACTCAGGGGTTCACATTTGCCAGGCAGGTGCTACATCACTGAGCCGTATCTCCAGCCCCTTGTCTCTCTCTCTCTCTTTTTTTTTTTTTTTTTTCCCTTGTCTTTTGAGACAGGGTGTTACTGTGAAGTTCAGGCTGGCCTTGAGCTCACTATGTAGTCCAGCCTGGCTTGAACTAGCGGCAATCCTCCTGCCTCAGCCTCCCGAAGGCGCCACACGGCTGGTCACTTTTTACTTTGAAGACATGGTCTCATTAGGCTGCCCAGCTGCTTCTTGAACTTTTGATCCTGGAATGACAGGTATGCACCACCACTTCGAGCTAGGATTTCACTTTATTTGGGTATATTTTGCCTACCACAGGCCTCTCGGCAATCATTCTATTCTCTTGTCGCCAGCCTTGCATAGTGGTGTTGAGAATTCCAGGAAGTGACCAAGATCGCTCCCATGTTCCCTGTCACTGAGGCCAGCTGTGGAGGGCAAGGTGCACAGAACACAGGAAGCTGACCAAGGCTCTGCAGAAGTCCACAGGACACACCCTGCCCCCAGCAAGCTCTGTTTGAACCCAACAGCCTGGCAGAGGAGGCACCTACACCCAAGTGAGAGGAGGACACACGTCACCATCAAAACACTGAGGAAAGGGCAATATTTCTAGAGATGGGCGTGTCACTAGACACAATTTCAGGCAGGCGTTGTGTGGTCCACACATGGAATCCCAGTACTCAGGAGGCTAAGGCAGGAGGGTGTGAGTACCAGGCCAGGCTGGACTATGTAGCAAGTTTGAGCCCACACAGGATTTCCATGCAGGGGGTGCAACTCAGTGGTCAGCACTTTGGTAGTGTGTGGGAGGCTCTCGGTTCTATCTCCAGCACCAAAAGAAAGAAAAAAGAGGAAAGGCCGAAGAGGCACACAAACATCTATGTAGTCAGTCTGTCTGCTTCTGTCTGTCTCCCATAATGCATGCGTTTCTTGGAGCCTACCTTAAAAGTTCTCTTAGCTGCCTGTAGTGCCACACAGCTGTAGTCCTAGCACTTGGGAGGCTGAGGTAGGAGGATGTTGCCCTTTCCTCACGTTTTTGTTTGTTCTTGCAGTACTAGTGATGGGACCCAGAAATGTGCTGCCAGAGCTATAGCCCCAGCACTTATTTTTTATTAATTTATTTTGGCACTGGGGATTGAACTCAGGATTTTATACTTGCCTGCTGCTATCTCTCTGGCCTTTTCTTTTTTTTTTTTTTTTTTGGGGGGGGGTGCAGATTCCAAATGCCTTCAGGGCAGCTTTGGCTGGCTTGAGTTGTGGGGACTGAACCACAGCAACCTGAGCCTGACTGCTTTGTTGAAGCAGCCACTTCAAGAACTGAGCTAAGGGGCAGGCCCCCGATTTTCTCTTTATTAGTACATATTCGTCATACACATTGGTCACATTCATCATAGGGAATTTGTACCTGCACATCTTTGTTTTTTTAAATGTATTTGGTCATCACAGGGTCTTATTACACAGCTTAGACTCATAGTGACCCTCCTGTTTTCAGCCTCCCCAGTGCTGTGATTACACCAGAACTCTGGCTGGCTCAGCCCGCCCTGGGGTGGGGATGGCACTTGTGGTGTTGGGGATCAAACTGAGGTCCCCGCGCTCGCCTAGGCAGGCACTTCAGTTTGTTAAGCTATCTCACTGGCCCCTCTTTATTTTTTAAGACAAGATCTCAGGTTCAGCTTGAACTATGTAGCAAGACCCCATCACAGTCAGTCAGTCAGTCAGTCAGTCAGTCAGTCAGTCAGTCAGTCAGTCAGTCAATTTTTTGGTCATGGGAAGCAAGCTCAGGAGCCTGCACTTGGCAGGCAGAAGCCATGCCACTGAGCTATTCTCCTGGCCCAATAAGGCAATTTAAAAAGCTTACTGAATGTGAGTGCGGTGTTGGCACACACCTGTCACCCCACATGCTGGAAGGCTGAGCAGGAAGACAGTTTAAATCCAGGCCGAGCAATTTAGTGACTTAGCTTCAAAATAAAATTTCCAAAAAAGGGCTGGTGATGTAGCTCAGTGCAAAGGCAAGTCCAGTCTCCAGAGCTGCCAAAACAAAACAGAGCCAACCTGCCCCAACTTGGTGGCTGACAGTTGGCCACTATTAGCCCATTCTTCTTGGTTTTTCTTTTCTTGGTACTGGCAGTGAACCCCAGGGTATTACCCATGCCAGGCAAGCACTCTACACTTGCCTGCCCCCCACCCTGGTGTTGGTCTGTTTGCTGTTGCTAACCACTGAATCCCATTGACTGGGTAGTCTCTGCTCCCCTCATTACTGAGAATTGAATCCAACACTTTTATTTTCAGATATTGATTTGATTTGGGTTTTTATTTTTAGGATCTTAGTTACCCAGGCTGGACTCAAACTTGTGATCTTCCTGCCTCGGCCTCCCAGAGTGCTTGGATGACACTACACTTGGATGGCACGTCGGTTTTTGTAGTCAAACTCTGGGGATGTTACTCCTTCAAGCTGGCAGGAAGGCAGCATTTGGTTCTGGAGGCTGTGTATGTGATCCTGGAGAGACAGCCATCACCTTTGCCACACTACAGTGGCTGGATGCAGGTCAGAGCCTCTGCACTCTCCTGAGAGAAGCACCCAGAAGGTGGTGACATCACATCAGGACATAAGTCACAGGCACCACCCTAGTATCCATTCACAAGTACCTCTGCCTATCCACCTGGCCCATTCCCCTGCACTTAAGGTATAGTTAAAATGCCTATGAAAGCATTCACCCAAGCTTCATGGCATGCATGTCTCATGCCAGCCGAGGCAGGAAGATCCCAAAATCAGTGCTATACTGGGCGACTTGGCAAATCAGCAAGATTGTGCCTCAGAATTATAAAAGGGCTGAGGTGTGGCTCAGTGGTGAGCACTTGCCTAGCATATGCTAGGCCTTGGCTTCCATCTCCAACACTGCAGAAAGTAAAAGTACTAGTAAAGCACCCACCTGAGAATCATTCTTGCAGCCTAAGGTGACAAGGGGCTGGGAACAAGCTGTGGCCAAAGTGATGGCTGAGCTGCAGTCCTGGGCAACCTTCCACCGAATGTGGCAGCCCGGGATGTGGGGGTGGCTGCTGGGCAGACAAGGCCCATCTGGTGTGCAGACATGGGGGACAGAGCTACTCAGGACAGCGTGTTCCAGTTCCTACTCATGGCCCAGCATTCCTGATGCATGGCTTGGGGCCAATGAATAAATTTTACGGCCCTCCTGGAAGGCAGCCCAACAGATCCCCTGGGGGTTCCCAGGCACAGAGCCCAGACCTAACAGAGGGCGGCAGCAGCCCAGACCCTTGCTTCTGCTTCCTGACATCCTCACTGGGGAAGGCCACTGGAGTGCCTCAGTTTCCTTCCTTGCCCACAGTGGGGGCTGACAGCTGCATAAGGGAGGCCTGAAGTCCCCAGAACTCCTAGGGTCTAGTGTTGGGAACTTAACTCTTGGAAGTAATTCTGCAAAAACAGCTCAGAAGGAGCCAGGGAGATGGCTCAGTAGAATAAGCGCTTGCCTGGCAAGTGCAAGGCCCTGAATTCAATCCCTGGTTCTGCCAAAAAAAAAACCCAAAACAACAAAAAACCAAAAACAGTCCAGAAAGGTGCTAGAATGGTGAGTTGTTTTTTTGTTTTTGTTTTTTGTTTTTTTTGCAGAACCAGGGATTGAACTCAGGCCCTTGCACTTGCCAGGGAAGTGCTTATTCTACTGAGCCATCTCCCTGGCCCAAGAATGGAGAGTTCCTGTGGGAGGTTTTCACTGTTTTGTTTAGGGTACTGGGGTTGAACGTAAGGCCTCCACCCTCAACTCCTTCCCCAGCCCTTTTTACTTTGTCTTTTCTTGTGGTACTGGGGATTACACTCTGGGCCCTATGTGTGTTAGGCAAGCACTCTACCACCTAGCTACATCCCCAACCCCCTTTTTACTTTTTGATGCAGGATCTCACTAAATTGCTAAGCTGTCCAGGCTGGGCTGGGACTGGTTTTTTGCCTTTTTGAGACAGGGTCCCACTGTGCAGTTCAGGTTGGCCTCACCTTGTACCCCAGCTGGTCTTGAAATCACAATGATCCTTCTGCCTCAACCTGTGGGGTTAGAGGTCTGTGCCCCCCACCCGTGGGACAGACCTTCCGACCCACCTGCCCCAGCCTCCTCCCTAGCTGGGGTCACAGTAGTGGCCCATTTCCTCCTGCACCTCTTGACCACTCGCAGCTGCCCTCCCAGGCCAGCACACTGTGCCCACCCCAACCTAAGATGGTGTAAAATGCACACAGGGACCCACTGGACACCTGGAAGAGACTGTGGCCATCATGGAGAACAGCCTGGGACCCCGCTGGATCCTAGAGAGCCAGCCTTGGTATCCCTGGCCCCTCTGTAGCTCGAAAGGAGGACAGAGAGGGGCTGGAGACTTTGACCTAAGTCCCCGCCCTGAGGGTCCTGCGGAGACACAGGCCGGCTCCACCCCTCCATCTTTACATGCGCCATCCCTCATCCCTTGGGCGCCATGAGGATGTGGACTTTCACAATTCCACGTCCTGCCTCAAATGTCACGTCTGTCCTGGAGACCAGAATGTCCCGTAACAACTTTCGTGTGGGCAAAGGAACAGAGCGAGGTGTGATGACACAAGCCTGTCACTGCACCATGCTGGGAGGCCGAGGCAGGAGGATTCAAGTTCCAGCCCAGCTAGGGCAATTTAGCGAGACCTGATTTCAAAATAAAAGATAAAAAGGGCAAAGGTCTGAAGGGCTGGGGATGCGGCTCAGGGCCTCAGGTGGCGTCTGCTGGGATCTGGGAGTTGGGCTCCGGGGAAAAGAACTGGTCCCCAGAGGGAACAACTGCGGGTGAAGCTGAGCCTTGAATGCAGGCAGAGCAGCTGTGCCAACTGGGGCACAACCCTGGGCAGGGTGGGCGCCTGGCCATTTCCTCATCCTAGGAGCCGGGTGGGCAGACAGTGGCTGGGTCCCGGGGACCAACCTGGAGCACACGGGATGACCGTGGAATGTGCTGTCCTTTAGGGCCTGACCTGGGCTGCGGCGAGCACTTCTGGCAAGACTGTGGGGCCAGGAGAGTGGGGATGTGGCCACAGCCGTCAGGATTCATTTTTGGTTCTAACCCTAGCCCAGGAGCATAGCACTACACCCTCAGCCCTTTTTATTTTGAAACAAGACCGAAGTGCCCAGGTTGGGCTTGAACTTGCAATCCTCCTACCTCAGGTCAGGGGGACTAAGGATCCCAGTCTGACGGGACCCGTGGGCGCCCTCTGGTGGCTGAGTCTGGGACTAAGTGTCTGGGGAGGTGGAACCTACTGCCCCACAGTGAGGCTGACTGCAGGGGGGCATTGTGCAGGAGGGTACTGCAGGGCCACCAGATGAGCAGATGCTGACCATTTGTGCTGGGACCCTCTGACCAAAAGATGGCAGCGAGGGACAACATGCACCACAGACCCAGCCCCCTGCTCGCTCTGATGCAGAAAGATTTATTTCCAGAATGTTATCAGCTAACAAAACCCACCACAGCATGACAATGCAGGGGTTGGTGGGGGCTGCCAGTGTACCAGCACCCCCATAAGGCTGCAAAACGCCACCCTGAGGCAGTGGCAGGGACCTGAGGCCCGGTGACCCCAGGCCTGTATCTTCCTGTAAATTTCCTATGGTGGCTGCCATGACCTCCAGACATGGGGTGGCTGGGTGCAGAGGACCTGTGAAGGCCTGGCTAGCAGCATGGAAAGGTCACCAGAGAAAGTTGATTTTGGCCCAAATATTGTTAAAGGAGATAAGGATGCCCCGCAGGATGCACCTGGGGTGGAGGAAGTATATAGTGCTGGCTGCAAGATTCCTCTCTAAGGCACAGGGCTGTCCCCGGCTCAGGATCGAGGCCATCCTCCTGCCCCTGCACCTGTGATCTGGGCTTTTCTGTCTGGCCCCTAAGCACAGGGGCCTCTGGGTCCAGGTCACTCTCCACTGTGCAGCTGAGCCAGGGACTCTCCCTCCAGTCAGGACAAGCCCACCTGCTCAGGGGCTCGGCCAGTTTCTGCATGCAGACAGAGGTCTTGCAGGGCAGGCCCTCGGTCCCAGGAAAGGAAGGCTGTGTGCCACAGATGGAAACACAGGACAACAGGGTCCCAACATCACTGTCCCAAGGGAGGAGTGCAGAAAACAAGTGGACCTGCTTCTGCTGTCCCTGCAGGCTTGTCCACAGAGCTATCACCCCATGTGGCATGGGGGACAGAGGATGACAAGATGCTCAGCCTCTCCCCAGCCCAGGCAACAGGTGGGTTAAGGGGATGACATGGAAGTTGACAGCAGGACCTCTATGTCCTCAGCTCTGCAGGGACGGAGAGCATAAGCAACCTGCTGCCACCTTCTGCTTCTGGAGATGAAGGTGTAGCCATCCACAGGGAACACGGGTGGCTGCTAGACGAGAGGCTTGGGCCTTGGGCCCCAGGATGAAATAAACTTGGGCTCTGGCAGTGGCTGGGCCCCCGAGATGGGCAGGACAGATGCTCAGGCCTCAAGGGACAAAGGGCGGCAGGAGCAGGGGCAGTGATGCAGGCCTGTGGGCAGGCGGCAGGGCTGCTCAGCCCTCTCTAGGGCCACTGGCTGCCGCTGGCCGGGTAGTTGGGCACAGTGGGGTACTCAGGCAGGCTGTTTCCTGAGAAGTTGTTGAATTGGGCCTCTCGCGTGGGCGGGTCCCGCCAGGCACCTGTGTTCCACTCTGTCTGTGCCTTCTGGAAGCTCCCGCCGGCCCCTCGGTAGATCCTGTGTACCTGTAGCAGGGACAGGACAGCTAAGGGAGTACACAGGGCAGGGGGCTTCCTCCCCAGCTCATCTGCCAGCGGAGACCCAGCCAGCATGTAGGTCATCTTCCTCCCCTCAGCCATGACAAGAGGGTGCTTGGGATGGGGACATATACAGCCTCCCTCCACCCCTAGGATGCCTTGGCTCTGGGCCTCACACTGCATGTCACCCCTCACATTGCATGTCGTTAGCCCCAGGCTGGCCTGTGACAGAGCAGCATGGACAGTGGCCATATCCTGTCCTATGCTGGCCAAGTGCTAGACGCAGGGAGCACTGCTATGCCCCAGCCCCTGCAGACCTAGGTGGCACTGCTATGCCCCAGCCCCTGCAGACCCCAGCCTCAGGATGTGAGGACACACAGGCACAGGCTGTCCTGGAGTCCATTATAAACAGTCTGAGCAGTAACTTCAGGAAATGCAGGAATCAGGATCGGGGACTCTGGAAAGGCCAGTGTGAGTCTGGTCCCTTCTTGCCTGCCTCTTAATGCCTGCAGCTCTGGCTCGGCTCTGCCTCCATGAGCCAGGAACCCTTCCTCCTCTGCCTAGTACCTCCTCTCCTCCCCTCCTGGCTCTGCCCCGCAGGTGTGACCAGGGCTCATTTGTGAGGTGGAGGCCATATGCTGAGTGGCCACTGCAGAGAAGGTACCCACTCCTCCCAGGGGACATCGGAAGTGAGACCTGTACATTCACTTGGTCAGGCATGGTGTAGGGACACATATATATACCAACTCTACGGGGTACCTGTGGCTCCCAAGCCCAGAGCAGATCTTCCAGGGATACTAGCTCCCCAACCGCCCCTGCCACCTCCCCCAACCTGTCTGCTGAGGCCCCACTGACTTCTCACAGATAGTGTGGCATAGCCCTGCCCAGCATGTGCTCAGGGCCTGGCCCTCAAATTATCTGGGGATCCGTCCTGGGGCTCACAGAAGAGGACCCTGGGCTTCACCTACTGGTGCAAACTGTATGGCTCTAATCAGCCCCTGCTCCCTCCTGGAATCTGCAAGTGCAAGGTGACACGTGCTGGGTAGAGGGGCCACGCACTCCCCGGGAAGTGCCCAGGCGCTGGGTCTCTGTGAGCTGCGGTGACACTGCATGTGTGCTGTCACAGCCCATCTTTCTGTCCCTAGGAGATGGTTCTGGAATCCCTGCCTGTTCTCCTGCCCCTGACCACCTGGGGTGCTGAAGGGAGAAGAGAGAGGGCAGGTGGGATCTCCTGGGACCCAGGACTCACCTTCATGATCAAGACGGCCATCATGGCAGCAGACAGGGAGAACATGATGGCAGGAAGCAGCATGACCACAGCGGCACCAATGTTGGTGTGGAAGAACCCAATGGCTGCCAGCCAGCCACTGTAGGGTGAGAGAATACAAGCTGACCTGGCATATAGCTCTGACATGTCACAGGAACAAGGGACTGTCACTCAAGGATACACCCAAGAAAGGACATCAGACCACCAAGGGAGACGTCCAAGTCAAGCAAGACCTCTTCTCCCCATGCTGGTGAGCCTGAGTTCGTGAGGGAATGGAGGCAGCAGTACTGGCCTGTCACTTGTGCTCCGCAAGGCAAAAAGCCTCAAAAGTCAGCAGAAGGCTTGGACGCTCCTTTCACTCATGTGTGCAGATCTCTGCTACAGTGATTGTGGGTAACCACGAGAAACAAGGAATAACCCCGGTATCCAAGGCTGGGGATCATGCAGTCTTGCACAGTGGGGCAGCAAGGGAACATTCAAAGACAAGAGGGGTCCAGCACTGAGGAGGATGAGGCAGGAGGATCACAAGTTTGAGCCCCAAGGGTGGGAGATGTAGTCCAGTGCTGGGGGACTCCTGGGTTCAAGCCCCAGTATCACCAAAAAAAAGAGAGAAACATGAAAACCAGCCTACATAGCAAGACCCACAGAAGCCTCTCTGACCTCTGCCCCAGCTCCCCCCAGCCAGGCTGCCAGTTACTCCAGGGTTGAAAGATGCATGCACACGTGTGTGCTACGCATGTGCTCGTCCGCGTGCATGGACACACCCAAGTCCTGGGCTCCCCGAGCTGTTGCTGCTCCACCTGGCTCAGCCAACTTGACACTGCTGAGTGTGCCATGGCAGCAGAGCGCAGTTCCCACAGATTCTCGCTCTTTCTTCTTAGTATACGGGCTGTCAAAGTGAGCACTGCTCTTCTTTTCTTTATTGAAAAAAAAAAATCTACTCAAATGATTTTGGACTTTTGTGAGAGTAGCAGAGATCTCAGGGAGGGCTCAGCTGAGGGCACAGCCACCTGGCCCTGTCCACAGGCCCATCATGTGGCCCCCCCTTGTGGCCAGCTGGCTGTTTAGCAGCCAGACCCCCCGGGGTGGTTTACTGGGCTGTTTCCCCAGGGCAGACTGTGACCCTGACTGAAACCACCTAGGCAGGCCCACTGGCCCAGGGCCGGGATGAGGGGCTGTCCTGTCCACCCCCGCAATGCTCTCTGTGAGCAAGGCTCTCTGTGACGTGCATTCCCCACAGCTGAGAGGCTGAAGACCGTTTGTCCACCCTGCTCCCTGCCTGGGTGCTGCCCCATTTCTCAGAAACACCCTGTTTTGGCAGAAGCAGAGCAGAAAGTGCTCTGGACTGGGGTTCGATCCCCAGCACCACACGCCATGCTGGCCATACAGACCGGGCATGGTGATACACGCCTGTAATCCCAGTGCTGGGGAGACTGAAAACAGGAGGATCACTACGAGTCTGAGCTGTAGTGAGACCCTGTACCAAATACATTAAAAAATAAATTTTAAAAATAAACAAATGTAAAAAAGCAGCCCAGTGGAGTGGCTGAGTTCTCTCTAGGCTTCCCTGACAGGTGCTCATGCACCACAGGTGACAGCACCAGCCTGCTCCGTCCACTTCACCCAGGGAGGCCTGGGAGCAGGGTAGGTAATAAGGGACCGTAGGCTTGGGCAGCTGAGCAGAGCCCAGCAGCCCAAGGGACCAAGGGGGCACCAGTAGCCATGAAAAGAAGCCACAGCTGTGGGTTACTCCAACAGCAGGATGCAGCTGCCTCCTGACCACACATGGCAGCGAGGACCCTTGGACTAGGACTCTCCATCAGAGCTGCAATGACATCCCCCAGGCCTCTTTTGTCACTGAGGACTCAGGGAGAACTGAGCAAGCCTGCCACCTTCCAGTGGTGCCAGCGACATGGGCATCTGTGGCAGGGGCAGGAGGGTAGGATAAGGCCCGCACATGGGGCACTTGCAGACTTCAGTCCGTGGGGCCTGGGAGCATACTGCACGCAGAGTAGAGCACACTGCGGAGCAGCACAGTGCTCAGTGTGTGACAGCAGGCTTGAGTCCTTGGGTTCCACCCCAGCACTACACATAATCGTTCAAAAACAAAGAGCTAAGGCTGAAGAGGGTGGCGTGGCCAGCAGTGCGCCCAGGAACCAGAGGAAAGCAGCAACAGAACACAAGAATCATGGTACAGAACGTGGTGGTCACAGGGACAGGGAGAGTGAAAAGCACAGGGAAACAGAGTGAGAGAACCACCACCCACAGACACAACACAAGAAAACCCCGCGAAGCTGGGCACAGCAGTTGACACCTGTCACGCAGCAGCCAGGAAGCTGAGCAGAAGTGCGAGTGCCAGCCCAGACTGGGTCACTAAGCAACTTAGCAAGACCCTGTCTCCAAGTAAAAAAGCAGGAGTGGACTCATTGCAAAGGCCCTGGATTCCATCCCCAGTATTGGGCGGTGGGAGACTGCTCCTGTTGTCTGAGCAAAGGCAGTAAATTGCTGAGCATGGTGGGGTACACCTATAATCCCAGCACTTGAGAGACTGAGGCAGGAGGAGCACTGTGAGTTTGAGGTCAGCCTGAGTTACAAAGTGAGTTCAAGGCCAGCCTGAACTACACAGCAAGACCCTGTCTCAAAAAAAAAAAAAAAAGGCATTAAGAGTCACCCAGGTCAGGTCACCTGCAGCCACTGCTTGGTGCTGACAAGTCCTCCAGCCCTGGGACACAGAAAGGGAACCTGATTGAGGCAAAGTTTATCCATCACACCAAGTGCCAAAGGTGCTACTGTGGCCAGCTGGGTGACAGCACCCTAAAGGTGTCCATGTTCTTATCCCTGGGGCCTGCAGCAATTTCACCTCCATGGCAAAAGGGACTCTATGGATGGGGTCACATGAAGGACCCCAGGGATGTGTCATGCTGACCACCTGGGGGCCAGTGTCCCCCACGTTTCCCAAATGAGTGCAGGAAGGTAAGAGGCTGCGAGAGGCTGAAGGCACCATGCTGTCGGCTCTGCCGCTAAAGGAAGGGGCCATGAACCAAGGGCTAAAGGAACCTCTAGGGGCCAGACAGGCCTGTTTTACAACTCTGACTGCCAGACTTGAGTTCATCTGTTTGTTTTAGTTCAAGCCATCAAGTTTGTGATCATTTTTTCCAGCAGCTCCAGAGAGCTCAAAGAAGTAGAAGGTAGGGAGGGTGCCCCCCCCAACACTTCCATCAAGGACCATGTGACAGGTAGCATCTTCTCAGGGCCCTCAGCTGTGTCATACCTTCCAGTTCCCTCCAGGTCAGCTGCCGTGGCTCAACCTCCTGTTCCCTCTCGTGCAGACACCCATGCTGAGGTGGTGAGGTACCACCAAGAGGCCTGGGTTACCCTCACCCCAAATCCAAAGCTAGCTCTGGGCTATGTGCTCAGTCTGTGTATGACAGCACACCCTTGCTGGCACGAGCACACATGTACGCATGTGCGTGCACACACACACTTACTCAATTTGTTTTCCATACTGGGGACTGAACCCAGAGGTTTTTTTTTTTTTTTTTTTTTTGGCAGAACTGGGGATTGAACTCAGGGCTTTGTGCTTGCCAAGGAAGCACTTATTCTACTGAGCCATCTCCCTGGCCCCTAAACCCAGAGGCTTTGGACTGAGCTGCACTCCAGCCTATTTCCACAGTTAACACACATGCCTCCACAGCACCCCAACACAGAGCTTACCATGCACCCCATCCCGATAAGCCAATAGCCTGGATAACAGTCAGGACAAACTGGGCTCCGAAAATGAAGAAGAACGCCATGAAATTGAAGGAACTGTCAGCACTGTGGGGGACAGAAAAAAATCGAGGTTATGGCCTGACACTCCACAGGAAGGCACAAAGCCAGAGGGTAGAACAGATTGTCCTGCTTTCCCACACACTGGAGAATGCATGGATTCCCACAAGTCACTGCACCTCCGCACAGCCTGGGCTCTGACTGTAGCACCAACACTGTGCTTCTGGAAGACAGCACAGCTCCCGAGGCCTTTGCTGGATGCCCCAAGAAAGATCCCCTTAGGGCCGGGGAGATAGCTCAGTAGAATAAGTGCTTGCCTGGCAAGTGCAGGCTCCTGAGTTCAATCCCCAGTACTCCGGGGGGGGTGGGGGTCTGCTTAGCTTGGAGAGGTCCCTGAGGAGAAAGCATGGAGGCAGGGAGCTGCTGGGTGCCCAGGGCTGTCCCCTCCCTTGCAGTTAGTCTTTCCTGTCTTTGGGGATAGCCTCAGGCACCTTCCCACCTTACTTAGTCTGCTGGTCAGAAACAGTTTGGGGGCAAACATGACACAGACCTGAATGACAGGGTGTGCAGCTGACAGTAGATGTCCAAGGCAGCAGGACTCAGCCCCAGTGTCCACTGAAGGATGGATGGACACACAGCCTCTTGCTGACCGCACCATACTGCTGGGGATGTTGTGACCCCACCAGGCCCCAGGATGGGAGGGCCAGGCTAGGGCGAAACTGTGTGGGGCCACAGCGTAAAGGCAGCAGGGTGTCCCATCCTGAGACCCCGGAAGAGGGTGCCCAGCTGAGGGATGTGGTGTCCCTAGAACTTTCAAAAACGTTGACTATCCAGGCATAGTACACAAGCCTGTAATTCCAGCATGCGGGACGCTGAGGCAAGACGATTGCTGTGAGTTTGAGGCCAGCCTGAACAATAGAGAGACAGCCTGTCTGGAACACCACCCCACCTCCAAAAAAAAGCCTGGACAGGTAGAGACAGGTCCCCACCCCCACCGGGTCACTCCCCTCATGTCCATGCCAGGCTGGGAGAGCAGTGGACATGAAACACAGTCACACTGGCTTGGTGTGCTTCCCAAAGCCATGGAAAGGAGCACAGCTGTGACACTTTGAGAACACTGTGCTTAGTTTTTGGGTTTTTTTGTTTTTGTTTTTTGTACCAGGAATTGAACTCAAGACCTCTTGTCTGCTAGGCAGGCACTGTGCCACTGAGCTACATCTCCAGCCCAGATACTGTGCTTAGTAAGAGGCATCAGACACAGGATGTATAGGCATGGGCTCCTTAAATAAGAAACTCCCAGGACAGGTGACTCCAGAAACAGGAAGTGGTCTCATGGATGCTGGGATGAGAAAGGGGATGGGAATTACTTGTGGGGACAGATGGGGTTTCCTTTGGGGTGACGAGTATTTTAGAAACAGGAAGTAGCAATGGCTGGACAGCCTGAGGAATATACTGAACCCTAAGTTGTCCATTTTAAGTAGGTGAACCGCAATGTGAAGAAAACCTCACCAAAGTTGCTACTGATACGCAAAGTAGAAGCCAGGAGTGGTGGCAAACAGCTGTTATCCCAGCACTCAGAGGCTGAGGAAAGAGATCCTAGAGAACCTAGCCTGGGCAACTCAGCAACTTACAGAGATCCAGTCTCAAAAAATAAAAAGGAATTGGGGTGCAGCTCAGTGTGAATGCCCTGGGTTCAACTGAGGGGGGAATGCATGGTACGGGACCAACAAAACATACAGCAGTTGGATTTAGCCCATGGGGGTAGTCAGCTACTACCCAGAGTGGAACAGCTGGAACTAGGTCAGACCCAGCGCAGACCAGACCGTGCTCTCTGTGCATGGTGCCACAACCAGAGCACACAGCGGTGACTTGTCCCCCAGGTTCTGTGCATACACCCTCAGCACTCTAAGTGTCCAGAGCACACAGGGAGCAGGTGGGTAAGCCCAGGGCCAGGCTGTTCCCTCTGACTTACCGGAAGGCCTTGTAGACTGGTCGGAACCAGCACACATAGCTGCAGGGGGTGAAGAGCAGCAGCCAGAGGAAGGCCAGGCCAAAGTTGGCTCCTGAGCCACCGCCAATCCACCAGGCCAGGCAGGCGACAAGGTTGACCCCAAGGGTGGCACAGTAAACTGGTTGGATGAAGGAAAAAAAGACTGAGCCGGGTGACGAAGGATATAGGCCACTGAGGATGCTGGCTGGGCCTGAGGGTCACCTCCTGGGCTTTAGGGACATTGCTGAACCTCAGCAAGAGCTGGGTGAGGCCAGGCAGTGGGCCAGCTGAGGATGTGGCCCCAGTCACCATGGGGACCACAGGGGGCCAGAGATGGACTCAGGACACACAGAGAACTCCTAGAGTCCCTGTCTCTGTTGCCTCAGGACAAGTGGGGTACAGCTCGGGGACCGAGGACAGGGTGGCTCCTGGTGACTACTCCCTGGGTCCAGTGGTCCTGGGCTGATGTCCCACCCCTGCAGCCCCACACCCAGGGCTCACACATCCAAAGCCGATAGATCCTCTTCACCAGCACCTGATGCTCAATGGGGATCTCGTCTGCGAAGTCCTGGTAGAAGCAGGGCTTTAGCGGGATGAACCTAGGCAGCGGTGGAAAGTTGTTCTCCTTCCCTGCAGGAAGAAAACCCCAGGGCAGACCTGCTACTGGTTGCTGCTGGGTGTCCCTATCCTCATCCCACCCTCCTACTAAGCTGAGGATCTGTCACCTTCCACAGTAGAAGGGACACTGGAGCGGGGCTAAGAGATGGACTAAGGGGGACTTTCCTGACCAGCTGGGCCCCAGGGTAATCCAGGAGAGGGCACAGGATGAGAGGAAGAGAGAAATGAAAGACCTCTTGCTGCCAGCTCTACAGATGGAGGCAGGGCAGTAGGCACCCACATGGGGTGGAGGGACCGGGGCCCTCCAGAGCCTCAGGCAGCTCCAGTGCACCTGCGCTCAGCCTGGCGAGACTCATTTCAGACTTCTGACTGTCAGATCCTAAGATGGCAAACTTATACTTTTTTCTCCCCCCAGTCTTGCGGACACAGTCCAAGGCTTCTCACATGCTAAGCAAGCAATCTACCACTAAGCTACAGGGTCTTGTTAACTTGCCCTGTCTGGCCTTGAACTTTTAATCTTCCTGTCTCAGCCTCCCCAGTAGCTGGAATGAAAGGCTTGGGACACCTCGCCCAGCTTAAATTCTGTTGCTTCAAGCCATTAGCTGTGTGGTGAATTCATCAGTTATTTTATTTTCTAGTGACCCTTCATCACACCCGCAGGATGCTCACACTCTCAAGAGTGTCCAGCAAGTGGAACACTACCAGTTTGCCAGGCTTCTGGAGAAGTCTCAAAAATCGTTGGTTTTTTTTTTTTTTTTTTTTTTTGGCTATCAGGGATCAAACTCAGGACCTTGCCCTTGCCAGGCAGGCTCTTAAACCACTGAGCTAACTCCCCAGCCCCAATCTCAATAGCTTGAAACTTCAGAAATTTACCTTCTCTGCTACGGAATCCAGATATCTAAGGCCCAGATCTATGTCCAGCTATGATCTGTCTGTAGCTGCTGGGAAGCCCTCTGCCTCTTCCGGCCTCTGGGGGTCTGGTATACCTCAGCTCGTGGCTGCACTGTCCTAGTCTGCCTGCCTTCCTCCTGCCTGCCTTCCTCCTGTGTCCGTGTCCAAATTTCTCCCTTCTTACTGATACCGGTCACTGGGTTAAGGTATCACACTCCAGTGTTGCCTCAGCTTAACTAACGCTATCAGCAAAAACAAACCCTATGCAACTACTGCTTGCAGAATTCAAACTGACAGAAAGAGACCAGTGAGGCAGTCCAGAGCAACATGTCTGTGGGGGTCAGGGGAGCAGCAAACTAAGGGTTGTGGGCATAGCTGGTGCGAAGGCCCTGAGTGAGCATCCTGCAGGTCCAGAAATGGTGGAGACCAGGGGAGGACAAGGGGGCAGGAGCAGGGACAGCTATAGAGAAGCCTGCATGGCTCCTAGGTCCCCCTCCAAGGCCATCTTGCTTTATTTGATCCTCCATCATTCCAAACCCAGGAGATGCTCATGAATTCATGACCTGTCACCAGCTTCCTGCCACCTTTGACGTGGCAGCTTTGCATAAACGTTAAGTCCAACCGTGGTGCCCAAGTCATAGCTGGGCAGAGCTGGCCAGTGGGCTTGCAAAGGCAGGCTCAGGATGCAGGCTACATGACAGGTCATGCAGGGGCTAAGGACGCACATGGGAACTGCTTCTATCCCTCCCAGCCTGGGGACACCTCCCAGGCACACAGAGCAGACCCTTAGCTGTGGCAGCCCTGCTGGACTCACCAGACATTTCCGCTTCAGCTGACCTGGAGCCTGGGCTGAAGCCTGCAGCCACCTGGAAGGAGACAGGACATCAGGGACCCTTTGGCCACCGGGGGTTCTGACGCCCAGCTGTGAGGGTCCACTGTGACCAGAAAGTCCTATTCGAAATAAACATATCAGGTTTCTGCCGGAAAGGCCAGCCCAGCTCAGCTGCTGGCTCAGCAGGTATCACAGGCCGGATGTGGGGCCACCAGTCAACACTTCCCTTCTGAGCCTGGCGGGAAGGGAAGGGTCAGACAGTAGCCTCTGTCATCCATATGGAGAGACCTGGTGCCCAGGCCAGATGGGTGCATGGGCACCCTGGCAACACACTGTGGTCAGCAAGGGACATCTGCTGGAAGGACCAACAGACCCTGGCCCAAGTTCCCACCATCTGTTCTAGCCCTATCCTGTGACACTCATGGTAGCTTTTTGCCACCCATGAAAGATGGTCAACAGGACAACCCCAAAGGAGTCTTTGGGTTAGCTGAGCCCAGACTTTCAGTATCCAGATGCACCTGTCCCCCAAACACGACTGACTGCCTAACCACGTTTGATGCAGATGCCCACCCCTCAAGCCTGACACGGAGAGCTACCCAGCCTTGGGACCCCAGCCAGGACACTGGCTCCTCTTAACAGACAGCAGCTTGCGTTGAAGTAAATGTTTATTGTCACTTGTCAGAGCTGTCACACTGTGGAGGACTCTGAGGCAGTGAACCAGCCCTGGGGCCAGGGTGGGACCATCATCAACGAGGAGGTGGAAGATCCAGCAGGTTGCAAGTTTTTGGCAAGTGTCCTTAAAACGGACAGACAGCAGTCCCAGGGAAGCCTCAGGCCACAGAGGCTGGCCAGGAGCAGAGGAAGTTCCAGAAGTGGGGGGTCACTAAGCTTATGCATCAGGGTCCAGCAGGTAACATTGGTTCTCCAGGATACCACGGAACACCTGGAAGCGGTGGTTGAGATCAGGCCGGGCGTGGATGCGGAAGCGAGTACCCAGGGCACCATCAGGTGAAGTGGCCCCATAGAAGACACGACGGATGCGGGAGTGCACAAGGGCCATGGCACACATAGCGCAAGGCTCTCGGGTGATGTACAGGTCATAGCCAGTACACACATAGGGCTGGCCATCCTCATCCTCATCTTCCTCCAGCTTGCGCACAGTGCCTGCACGGGCCTGGGGTATAGCAGCCGGAGAGAAGGCACAGGTTGGGTGGGCACGGAGGTCATGGGCACCACGGCCCTGACCCTGGGCCACGAGGTCAATGCACACCATGACAGCATGCAGCAGCGGGCTGGTAGCACTGCAGCAGTCATGGCCCATGGCCAGCACACGGTCCAAGGTGGGGTCCACCACTACGGCCCCCACAGCCCGCAGTCCCTGGGCTGCTGCCCGCTGGGCCATGCGCACTGCCCACTCCATGTGGCTCTGCATGGAGGCTCGCTCTTCAACTGAGAAGAGCTGCCCGGCCAGCGCACTGGTCACCTGCTTGTCCTCGTGGAAGGATGTGGGCCAGTGTATCCGGGCCTCCTCGAACTGGTCCCTGGTGAGGGGTGGCCGGGCAGGCACAGGTACCAGAAAGGGTGGCCCCAGGCCATGAGGGTCTACAGAGGGCTCTGGAAGCAGCTCAGCCAGTGAGCGTGGACCTGGGGCTGGGCCGGCCAGGCAGAGCAGCAGTTCTAGTACAGGGGCACCACAGGCATCAGGCCGAGGCCTCACCCGCTTGAGGTGGGACTGTGCAGGCAGTGGGTGGACAGCTGCCACCTCCCGGAGGAGGCGCGAAGTCTGGCGCTTGTCAAGGACGGGCGCGGCGTAGGCCAACACCAGTTCCACATCTCCAGACTGCTGCTCGGACAGCACTGGGACAGCTTGCCATGGTGCTGGCTCTTGCTCTGCATTCCCAGCCACCTTCTCAGGACCTTGCTGCTCCAGGAGGCCCAGGGTAGGCTCCATCCTCATCTTCAGCAGACTGGGACTGTGGAAGACAGAGATCGGTGGGAGCAGAATATTGTCTTGCAGAGGCAGCAGTACCCATGAGCCAGAGGAGTCCGTCCTAGTACGCTGCAGACTCGACAAGGCTGAGCAGGCCGGATCCAGAGCCCAGCCAAAAGTGTAGCCCAGGTACAGCCCGTCGCGGGCCACGTTCTCGCCCATATCCCACTGAACTCCTGGTGGGCAGAGTCTAAGCCTCTACTGGCTCTTTAAGAAAGCTGAGATGTAGCATTGCTTGTTCTGTTTTATTCTGAGCAATGGAGATGAAACCCAGGGCCTGTGCATGCTAGGTGAGTGCTTACCACTGAGTCACTGCCCCAGCCTGAAGAACATTTTTAAACATACACTTCAGTAGTTGTTGATGTGTAATGGAGATGTGCAACTACTCCTACTATGGAATCCCAGGTTTCATCATTCCTCAGGCAAACCTCAGGTCACACACCCCACACACCAGCCCCAGGCAACCACTCATCTGCCCTCTGAGCCTCTGGAGGGCAGAAGTCTGAACATGAACAGACTTGTGGTCAGGAACTGAGAGAAGCGACTCTAGCCAACAGTCAGTGAGGCTTTAGGCTTCAGTCCCACAGCCTGAAACCAAATTGGTCAGCAGAGTTACAAATGGACCCTTCTCTAGTGGCTCCTCTAGATGAGACAGAGCTGGGTTGACCCCAGACTCCAGTCAGGTAAGGCTCTGCACAGAGGACCTGGAGCGCTGTGCCAGGCTTCCAACTACAGCAATGGGGGCCCAGGTGGGCGGCAGGGAAGTGAACACAAGGTGTGGGGCACAGGGCAACCTCCTGAACAGCACACAGCAACACCTACAAAGGGCTGGACAGAAAAAAGCTGTACAACCTGTGCCCTGATGCAGCCCTCTCATGGTAGACCTAGGTGCCAGGGCATGGTGAACATGCCTGAGGTGGCCCTGTAACCCAGCAGGAAGCTCACCAGGCCCTGGCTGCCTGAGGACTCAGGCATTCAGGTGGGGCCTGGTGCTTGCCCACCTCCTGCTCCACTGTATAGAGGCTGGGGCATGAAGGTGCCCCTAGGAGGGAGAAGAGCATCCTTGGAACCCACCTACCCAGTACACACAACTTTGCCCGCCATCCAGAAAGGCTCACAGAGCGCAGGGCCTGTGGCAGGAACTCTCTCAGAGCCATCACCAGCACCATCACTGTCCCTATGGCACAGAGTGATGCCGTGCACGCTCTGCTGGGCAGGCAGTGCCCCATTCTCCACCCTCAGAGCCCCAGTGTCCACTTCTCCCAGGAGTCACAGACAATAGGGACAGGGGGGCTGAAGGACAGGAAGTACAACAGGCCAGGCACATACAGAAGACTAGGGGATACCACTTGTGGTTCCTGTATTTCTGGCACTGTCTCAACTTGCCATCTTGAAGCCACCAGCTCAGCTGGCAGGGTGTAGCCCTTGCCCATGTCTGCCCCAGCCAGCTCGTTGTCCCAGGATGCCCATCAGACCACCACATCCGCCTATGGCGACAGCCAGTACCAAGTGCAAACTCAGCCTTGCAGGAGGCTCCCCACAAGTCATCCAGCAGCTCCAATGTCCCCGCTGTACAGGCCTGAGGAGAGGTGGCCACGAGTGGAGGCTGGCTGCACAGCAACGCTTGCCATGCTCTAGACTTCAGAGTGAGGGCTCAGAAAGCAGCTGGCCCTGCATGGTGACATACACGTCATCCCAAATGTCTGGGAGGCTGAGGCAGGAGGATCACAGGCTTGCAGATAACCCGAGCTACTCAGTGACTTAGTAAGACTCTTTGAAAATAAAAAAAATTATTTAAAAAAAAAAAAAAGAAAGAAAAAAAAATTCTTAAAAGGGCAGGAGGATCTATCCCATACTCAAGGCCATTTTAGGTACCCTAGCTAGACACTTTTGCAAAATAAAATATAAGGGGGTAAAAAGCTGGAGATGTAGCTTAGTATGAATGCCCTGCATTCAATCTCCAGCAATGCTTTATAAAAAAAAGAAAAAAGATGCATTTTATTAAAATGATTGTTGACATTTTTTTTTTGTTTTCTTTTTGAAACAGGGTCTCACTATGCAGTTCAGGCTGGCCTTGAGCTTACTTTGTAGCCCAGGCTGGTCTACAACTTGTAATGATCCTCCTGCCCCAGCCTCCTGAGTGCCGGGATTACAGGCATGCACCACTGTGCCTAGTTCTTTTGTTTGTTATAGATACAGGATTTTCAAGGGCCAGGGAGATAACTCAGTAGAATAAGCACTTGCTTGGCAAGTGCAAGGGCCTGAGTTCAATCCCCGGTTCTGCAAACAAAACAGGATTTTTCCCCCTGTATTTTAGGGAAGGGTTTACAGGGTGATCAGGGTCTCACTACTAGATCAGACTTGTAGTCATCAGCCTGTTTATAGCTTTCCAAGAGCTGGGATTGGCACAGGCCACCATGCCCAGTCTCAATTGCCTTTCAGTGTGCCCCAAGGACAGGGCCAGCACGGCAGGCCTGGGGATTGAACCCTCGGCCCCTGCACCTGCTTGCAGGAGCTTAAATCCGCTGAGCTATTTGGGCGGCCCTAGGATTTTTTTTAATTTTTATTTTTAACACACACACCAGGCTTTTTTTTTTTACACACACCAGATGGCACACTCCTGCATCCCAGTTACTTAGGAAGCTAAGGTAAACTGGGAGGACAAGGCCAGCCTGGGCAGCTTAGAAGACCCTGTCACAAAATAAAAAGGGCTGAAGATGTGGCTAAGTGACAGTGCAGTAACCTAGCATACAGGAGGCCCTGGGTTCTATCCCCATCATCATCAAAAAAGAAAAAGGGGCCAGGGAGATAGCTTAGTAGAATAAGTGTTTGCCTGGCAAGCGCAGGGTCCTGAGTTCAATTTCTGGTGCCGCAAAAAAACAAAACAAAACAAAAAAACTAATGTCATAGATTTTGTGTTTCAATCAGACAGCGCTGCCTTACATTTCCTGAACAATAAACTACACATGACGTCAAAATGGTTCTGGATGGAATCAAACATACTAGGACCCCAGAACCCAGCACCCCTCCAGGGGGACAGGATGTGTTTATCATTTCACAGCTGTGGGCTCTACTCCTTCAGAGGTACTGCCGGGCTTACTCCAGATGGCCGTGGGATCCAGATAAAGGGTTTACAACTCCACCTGTCACCATGGAGGACCCACTGAGGCCTGAGGCCTGGTTACCTTGGCCTGCACTCAGCTTGCTGTAAGCAATGAGACTGAAACATGCAATGTGGCACCTTGTGTGCCTCAAGGGCCTGTGCCACCTCTGCAATCACTGCCCAAGGCCCCAGGCCAGGCAAGGCCCACAGAGGGCTCCTTGGTGGCTTTCTAGATCCCCAGTCACACATACACCAATTCTGCAGCCCACATGGCCTGCCAGGGCCACAAAAACCCCACTGTCCCCAGAGCAAACAGAAACACAGCCTCATTTATCTCTCCAAGACTACAACCTCTGTCTGTAGACAAACAAAACAAGCAACACCACAGGAGGCCGCCATCAGGCCATGGTAGCCTGAGAGGACAGCAAAAAGTCAGGAGGCAGTTTGCAAAGACCATGAGGACGAGAGGGCTCCATTCTGTTTACTGCTAATAGGTCCCTCAGAAGTGAGTGGTGACTGTCCTGGGGTAGGATGGGCTAAAGGCAAAAAGTTTCTTCCCCACCTACCCAGCCCAAGGGCTGCATTAGAGAGCAGGAAATACTGCCAGTCACTCCCTTCAGCAGCCCAGGATACCTGCCAAGAGGGGGACTCTACCCCAACTCTAAGGGGTAGCCTAGGCTTCGCAGAAGTGGACTGCTTCTCCAGCTCAGTCTGGCACTGGGGAGGAATGGGAAATGGCATCTACTCGGAGTGGGTGAGTCCCCAAGGTGATGGCCCTGCTAAAGCCTAGGATGGTCTCACCCTACAAATGAGAAACCAGAGCAAAGACTCCCAGCTAAGACCCGAACGTGTCTGGTCAGGCAGCACCTGCAGACTGCTCCTGCTGCAGAGAATCTTGGCCCTGCTCACCCATTCCCTGGTGGGGAGGCCATCCTAACTTTTTTCAGCTCCAGCTTCCACTGTTATGCAGTGAGAACTTGATCACTGTCGGGCAGGGGATCAGGCACAGACAGTGACAGAGTTGTGACAGTGCCTTCAGATTCAGTGACCCTGCCAATGCAGTGGTGCACACCTCTAATCCCAGCACTCGGGGGCTGAAGCAGGACTGCTGTGAGTTCAAGGTCAGCCTGGGATATACAGTGAGTTCAAAAAAGAAAAAAAAAGATATACTGATGCATGAAAAGTATTTGTTGAGCCAGGCCTAGTGACACACATCTGCAATCTCAGCACAGAGCTTATGACAGAGTTGATCCTGAGTTTGAGGCTGCCCTGGGGTTTTTAAAAAATTGGTTGCTAGGGCAGGCAAGATAGCTCAGTGGACTAAGCGCCCGGTTAAGCAAGCACAGGGACTGGGGTTCAATCCCTGGCACCACACACTGCACCATCTCCACCCCTGGCCGCACTGAGCTGGCCACAGAGAACTGGCTTGGTGGCGCAGGCCTGTAATCCCAGTGCTGGGGAGGCTGAAAACAGGAGAATCATCACAAGTCCTAGCTGCATAGTGAGACCCTGTACCAAATACATTAAAAACAAAAATTGGTTGTTTAAGCAGAACATTAAGTTGGGTATGGTTCTGCACGCTTGTAATTCCAGCACTTGGTAGGCTGAGGCAGAAAGACTGCTCTAAGTTTGAAGCCAGCCTGGGTTACAAAGTCAGTTCAAATCCAGCTTGAACTCAAAACAAAATACATACACACACACACACACACACACACACACACACACAGAGAACGTTTTTGTGTGTGGTACTTAAATTAAACCAAGGGCCATCTTCACACTAAGTGGCATACCCTTTTCACTTTGTTGCCACTGGGTCTCCCTAAATTGCCAGGCTGGTCTGAAACTCTCAATTCTTCTGCCTCAGATTTCCAGACTGCTGAGATTACGGGTGTATGTCACCATACCCAGCCAGAACTCAAAACTGATGGAGCACCCTGTTCTTATTTGCTAAATCTGTTCCCATACAGCCTTCTCTACACATGGAAAACCTGGAGCCTCTGGGGTGTGCTGCGGTGAGACCTAAGGTCACCTTGTGAAAAGGCCTCCAAAGGATGCATGTGGTGATACACACCTGAAACTCGAGTTTAACCAGAGCTGCCTGGAAGGCTACGTACGGTATGAGGATCACAAGTTTGAGGCCAGCTGGAGAAATTTAGCGCCTCACTAGTCTTCACACTTAAACAGATGAAGGGTATAGCTAACTGGCTGCACGCTTGACCAGCAGGAGTGAGACCCTGGAACCAGTAATTAGGACTGGAATAAAAAAAAAAAAAAGTCCTTGAAAATTCACACTTCCAATAACTATCAGCGCTTATGAAAGAATTAGAGGGACCTCTTAAAAGAAATTTCGAAATAGGGAGAGGGACAACAGGGATTAGGAAGCCGGTAAACCATTAGCCCGAAGAAATGGGAGGGTCTGCAAGGAGCCAGTGACAGACAAGGCACACCGGAAACGTCCGGGGTGCACGGGGTCTCCAGAAAGGGCCAGAGAGTACGCATACGTAGAAAGGCGTCGGGCCAAGCAAGAGGGTCCTAAAGGCCTAAGCGCACGCGCGTTAAGGCTGCAGCAAGCGGCACGCGCACGCGCACGCCCACCCACCCGCCCGCGAACCTGGCCGAGCCAACCCCTCAGCCCCTAAACGGCCCCTTTCGCCAGTCACAGCCCAGACCCCCGTCGCCAGCCCTGTTTCCTGTTCGCGCAAGGCTAGGGTACAAAAAACTTGAGTTTCCGGGAGACGCTCACCTAGGGAGACTCCGCGAGCTCGGCGCTTCACCAAGACCTAGCAACCGGCCCGCCCCGCCTGGCGCCGCAGGGTACGACGGGAGCGTAGGGAGGCAGGGCCGGAACTACAATTCCCAAAGGCCACGCGCGCGGCCGCCTAGCTTTGCCTGTCGCTTGAAGAGCACCCACGTGACCCGATGAAAGCCAGGGTCTCGTCTCCGTGTAAACCAGTGATGTGAGTTGCAGGTTCAAGAACCATCCCGCAGAGCTGGGGAGATAGCTCAGTGGCATAAGAGCCTGCCTGGCAAGAGTAAGGTCCTGAGTTCGAAAAGAAGAACCAAGGTCCAATTTGATAGTGGACTAAAGCTCCTGCTTAGGCAGAGCGCAGTGGCTGGGATTCGAACACAGACCTACGGTGCCGGCCCCGCCCCCGGGGCTCGCTGAGATGGTGATTGAGACTGGGCGTGGTGGCGCACGCCTGTAATCCCAGCACTTGCGAGGCTGAATATAGGAGAATCACCGAGTGCGATCTGCGTAGTGAGCCCACGTAGACCCTGTCGGAAGGAAGGGAGGGAGGGAGGAAGGGAGAGAAGGAGAGAACCATCCTACTGCCTGGGAAAACCTGGAACCTAGAGGGCCTTTGGAAAAACAGCAGAAGAAACAGGGAAGGGGGCGCAGCAGCTGTCTGCAGTCACTGTGAGAGCCCTGTCAGCAGACACTTCCGTGGGGTCACGGTCAGGAGTTTGGGCCCACTCCAGGCCTGTTCACTTATCTGTCCAGTAGGCATAGAGAACCCCCACACACACACACACACTGCTGGGCGAGACATGCACATTTTATGTGCAAATCCGGGGAATATGGCCAGGCCCTGTGGGTTTGATTTATCGCAGCCATATACCTTTGGCAATGGGTGGGGACTTTTTTTGCGATGGGGGTGAGGCAGTCCTTAGCACTGAGCTACATCTCCAGCCATTTTTATTTTTTAAAATTTATTTATTTATTTATTTATCTATCTATCTATCCCCTAGCCGTTTTAGGTTTTTGGAGTTTTTTGAGACAGGGTCTTGCTGATTGCCCAGGCTGGAATAGCACATGTGATGCTCCGGCCTCAGCCTCCCAGAGTCCTGGGGTGCCAGGTGGGCACCACCATGCCCAGCTTGAAGCCAAGCACAGGCTTTTGGGGGACGCACCAGATCCAAGCCATAGTAAAGGTTCATGGTCAGAACCAGAAGGTTGTGAAATGAGAAAATCCATCCTCTGACCACAAGCTTCCAGACATCAGGGAGCAGCATGGAGACCATTTAGCCAGGGTTGGCTGGGGAGAACCTACAGGGCTCCAACCCGGGACAGGCAGGGAAAGGGGCCCAAGGGACAGCAGGTTTTCTCTGGACCTCTTTCTGGTCCTTGCGGGCGCAGACGAAGCCGGCGTTCCTGGTGCCAAGGTGCACACTTCGGTTTGACTATTTGGTTCCTGAACCTGTGAAGGCTGTGAGTGGGAGGCACTTCCCTGTGCAGGGGAAAGGGGGATGAGATTAGCTACATCCTGACAAGGGAGAGTGTGCTATCTTCCATTCCCAGCGTTAAAGGGCAAGTGACTGCCTTCAGAACCCCCTTGGAAGCCAGATGTGCTGCTGTGCGCCTGACATCCCAGCACTAAGGAGGCTGAGGCAGGTTGATCGAAAGTTGGAGCCCAGGCTAGGTAACTCAATGACTTAGCCCGTGTCAAAAATAAAAATAGGGGCCAGGGAGATAGCTCAGTGGAATAAGTGCTTCCCTGGCAAGTGCAAGGGCCTGAGTTCAATCCCTGGTTCCGCCAAAAATAATAAATAAGTAAGTAAGTAAGTAAAAATATTGACTGGACATGATGGTGCATGCCTGTCATCCCAACTTATATGCAGAACCAGGAGGATGGCTGTAAGTTCAAGGTGAGCCTTGGTTATATAGTGAGTTCAAGACCAGCCTGGATTACACAGTGAGACACTGCCACTGCCAGCTCCATGAGGCTGGAAAATACTCATTTATGAAAGGCAAACTGAGGGCCAGGGATATAGCTCATTGGCACAGCGCCTGCCTGGCAGGCACAAGGTCTTGAGTTTGATTCCTAGTAACAAGAACAAAAAACAGCAACAACAACAACAAAAATAAGTGGGGGGACAGGGTTACAAATGTCTAAAATCCAATCTCTGCTTGTCATTCTTAAAGCCTTAGTTGTTTGGGGAAGGTATTTATTTTCTGTCTACTGGGCCTTGAACCCAAACCTTTATACTGAGGTATATATGAGCCATTTTTGGGTTTTATCTTGGAGCAGGGTCTCACTGAATCACTAAATTGCCCCAGATGAACTCCTAGAGTGTTGAGACCACAGACATACACCACCACACCCAGCTCTGACCTCATTTTGTCCACACAAAAGTTTTTGCACAGGGCCAGGAAGATAGCTCAGAATAAGTGAAGCACAGGGTCCTGAGTTCAATCCCCAGTACCACATACCAAATAATAATAATAATAATAATAATAATAATAATAAAGTTTTTGCAGGACACTCAAAAGTTTTTGCAAGTCTACTCCCAGAGTTGGCATGATGTAGTAGATTGGTTTGTAGGCCTCTGGTAACCTGGGAGGAACACAGATAATTGCAACACTCAGGAGGCTGAAGCAGGAGGATCACTACAAGTTTGAGACCAGCTGGTTTACATAGTAAGCTCAAGGCCAGTCAGAACTACATAGAGAGACCCTGTTTCAAAAAATTATTAAAAATTAAATTATACTTAGGCAGATGCAGGGACCAGGGTTTGATTCCCAGTGTGCCATGCTGGGCTGAGGAGATGGCAATTGAGATTGGACGTGGTGGTGCATGCCTGTAATCCCAGCGTTTGGGAGGCTGAAAACAGGAGGATCACTATGAGTCAGAACTGCTAGCAAGACCCTGTACCCAATTTTTTAAAAGGAAAGTGAGAAGGGAGAGATGAGACAGAGACAGAGACAGAGACAGCTATAGTTAGGCTCTGGCCCCACCTACTGGCCCAATGCCATATTGCCAAAGTCCTGGAACTTAAAAGTGGGAGAAAGCCAACAGGTGTAGTTGTTTGTGTTCTCAGTGCCAAGGTTAATAGCCTGTGTGTTCATCATTTGGAGACGATATTGAGTTAGGCAGCAGAGTCATAGCAGAATAGACTTCCGAGGGGTAGGTGGTATGACCAGGGGGCCCGGCTTCTGGAACTAACACTTCTGTCCTTCCCACATGCATATGGAGAAGGCACTCTGGGTGGCGTTCTAAGGCCTTAGCAGGGCAAGTGGTCACAGGATCAGGAGCTCTTGAGGCCCCAGCGACCCCCTGACACAGGCACTCTCCACTGACACTGGGTGATGTCTGCAGACCTTTGTGGTTGTCACAACTAGCAGGAAACAAATGGAGGTCAGGGATGTTGCTCAGCACCTTGTGGTGCCCAGGACATCCCCAGAAGGTGAATTCTGCAGCCTCAGTGTGCACCATGTTCAGGGGGAGCTATTGGCTTAATTATTTGAAAAAAGTGAAGAACTTGAAGCCAGGCATTGTGGTGCAGGCCTGTGTCTGGCACTCAGGAGACTGAGGCAAGAGGTTCACTGCCAGTTTGAGGCCAACCTGGGTGTCTCACTCTTCTCTTGTTGCTGTAACAAATATCTGGCACTCAAAAGGAAGGAAAGGTTTATTGAGCTCACAGTCACTGGAGGGTTCAGTCCATACTCAGCTGGGTCCAAAGCAGAGCAGCACATGGCAGAAAGCAACCTTTCATGTTGGCAGCAACGAGCAAGAGCGCAGAAAGGAGCAGCAGCAGCTTAAGCATCCAGCTTCTCATCCCTCCGTACATCGTAATGCAGACTGCCTGCCCCAGGGCAGGTGCAGCATCCACACCCACAAAAATCAGTCACTCCAGAAGCTGCCCCAAGACTGCATGAGGCTTTGGGGGGACACCTAGACACAAACCGTAACACTGGGCTGTGTAGTGGGTTCAAGGGCAGCCTGGACTACCTAGGAAGACTCTGTCTCAAACAAAGAGGGGCCAGGGAGATAGCTCAGCAGCTTAAACACCTGCCTGGCAAAAGCCTGCCTGGCAAGTCCAAGGTCCTGGTACCAAAAACCAAAGAGATTATGGGCTGAAGTGTAGCTCGGTGATAGAGCTTGTGCCCACCATATTCAAGACTCTGGATTTTATCTTTTTTAAAATTTTATTTTAGGGAAGGATCTGCAGGGTTTTGAGGGTCTCACTACTAGATCACACTTGTAGTGATCCATCTGTTTACAGCCTCCCAAGAGCTGGGATTACAGGTGAGCACTACCACACCCAGTCTCAATTGCTGTGCAGCACACCCCGGGGGCGGGGCCAGCCCAGCAGGCCAGGGGATGAAACCCCTGGCCCCTGAGTCTGTTTATAGGTGCTTTAATCTGCTGAGCTATTTGGCCAGCCTTTTGGATTTTATCTCAATCCTACCAAAAAAAAAAAAAAAAAAAAGACTTTTTATTTGTTTTTGTCTTGGGTTTTTTTAAGACAAGGTCTCACTATGTAGTTCAGGCTGGCTTTGAATTTACTATGTGGCCCGGGCTGGCTTCAAATTGGAATTGATTCTCCTGCTTCAGCCTTCTGAGTCCTGGGATTACAGACATGTGACACCATGCCTAGCTGCTTCTTTCTGCAATACAATGTGTGCAGCAGTGACCCTGTGGATGGTGGCACACACCTCTAGTATCACCTACTTTGGAGGCTGAGACAGGAGAAGCACTAGGTTTTTTTTTTTTTTTAATGTATTTGGTACAGGATTTGACATAGCTCAGACTCATAGTGATCCTCCTGTTTTCAGCCTCCCCAGTTCTGGGATTACAGGTGTACACCACCACGCATGGTCTTGGTGACCACTCAGTGGCCAGCTCAGCACACCAGGGGGCCAGCGTGACATGTAGTGCCCGAGAAGCACTAGTTTAAGGCTTTCCTAGGCAACTTATCAGACACTGTCTCTAAATTTATTTGTTTTGGGCTGGTGAGATGGCTCAGTGGTCTAAAGCATCTACTTGGAACAAGCTTAGCAGAGCACAGGTACCGCGGTTCAATCCCCCAGCACCACAT